AAACTGACAGGCTTAAAAAAAATTCTCAATGCAATAGTAAAATTTTCTGGTACGACATTAACTCATAATATAATAGAATACCATCAAAATCCCTTTTTAACACATTATTTTTATTTGATTGGAATTGGACATCCAAATTCATAAATGATTTCATTAAAGCCTTTCGGCCGCTCCTTTAAATCGGCTGCCCGCGTGCCGGGCCTGCACACATGTGTATTAAGATGTAAATTTTGAGTTTTCAAAGTTACGAGACGATCTGAAATGTCGTCATTTTTTACCACCTTGACAATAATTTAAGTATCAAAACTTATCTATAAAAACTTTGATTTCAATGTATGTTATATTGTAATACGACGTACAAAATTGTATCAGTCTGCGCATGGCAATTATAGTGACGCGCGCTTCCATATTGAAAAATTTCAAACAGATTACTAGCAGTTCCCTTGTGCGCATGCGCACCGTAGCCGGCACGCGTTCCTGCCCACGAGTCGCTCAGCGCCTCAGTGCGTCTCGAGCCACCGTGGGGGAGATATCGCATCGTGTTGCTTCCTCTTTCACAGAAATTGTCAGCGGTTCCGTTCAACTCGCACCACATTTTCACGGATACCATCGTGGCGCTGTGCGTTTCGAATTGTCAAACGTGCTCGCCAAACCAAGTGGCGTCCTCGAATTTTTCATTATCCCGCGAATGTACAGACCCAAGTGCCGGGTTACGCGTACCTGCCGTGCTAATTCGTGAGTGTGCCGCGTGTGATTTCGACGAGAATAATTATGAGTGGCGTGCTGTCGATGTTGTGTGTTATCCTGATTCTTAGCGTCGCGACGACAACGGTACGCGCCGGATTAAAATGCGACGCTGTCAAACCGTACTTCGAGTCCCAAGGCTTTCCTGCCAGTGACATACCGAAGGAGGCGATTTCATGTAAGTATTTAATCGTACTTGGGTTTTATAACGTAGACTGCGGATCTTTATGCAAAATAAAACCTTCGTGAACGTGATGGCTACAAAAATTGAATCTAAATAGGAATATATTTTATTATAGAAATATTATCACGTGAACTTTACTTTCAATCTTTTTTTATATTCTTGCACATTCAAATTTCCTATAAATGCATAAAGATTCGCAGTCTATTTATAAGTGTTGAAAAGTCTTAACTTTAAGGCTAATCGAACAGAACGCGAGGGATGTTTGATTCTGAATGTTTTAAACTCTATATCTGCCATTTTTAGACAGTATCTACCAACCTAATTTTAGTTTTATAATATCATAAATAACAATATCTAGTATCTTATATCCAGTATTTAATGTTAATATCTTAAATATTTCCAACATGTACTAGTTACGAAATCGTAAAATGTACAAATAAATAAGCAGGATAATTCTTTATTTATATGGCTATTCTAGTCATTTTTTTGCGAAATCAATTTCAGAATCGAACATCCCTACTTCACGGTCCGTCCGAAGTTATCTACATAATGAACTTCCGTAACTCCTGTAATTTGATTGGTCATGGCTTCCAAGAGCCTGTGACATAGTAACCGTCAACTTCAAATCAAAAATGTGCAAAATCTCGAATCTATTTGATTCGATAATTAGTTAAAAGCTTCTTTCCAGTTATTATACCAAGTACCCATAAAAGTAACGATGTACTTTTGAGATTCCTAACTTAATCCGTCGATTATTATTGAATCTAACGGTATCGTCGAGGTTAAAGTAATTTCCGCTTAAACAGTTTGGCAAACGTGAACACAAGATATACAGGGTGTTCCAAAAATGTTGTAACACCTTGAAAGGGGGGGGGGGGGTCGGGAGGTGATTTGAAACAACTTTTTCCTTAGCGAAAATGTTGTCCGAGGCTTCGTTGTGGAGATATTAACAGAAAATCCCGACCAATCAGAGCGCGAGTATGCCAATTAAGCGCCTTCTGATTGGTCGAAGTAAAAAGGAAAAAGTTGTTTCCAATCACCTCCAGCCTGTATATACAGGGTGTCCCAAAAATGTTGTAACATCTTGAAAGGGGTGGTTCGAGGAGTGATTTGAAACAACTCTTTCCTTAGCGAAAATGTTGTCCGGGGCTTCGTTGTGGAGATATTAACAGAAAACGTCGACCAATCAGAGCGCGAGTATGTCAATGGAGCGCCTTCTGATTGGTCGAAGTATTCCGTTAATATCTCCTCAAAGAAGTCTCGGACAACATTTTCCCTAAGGAAAAAGTTGTTTCAAATCACCTCTCGAACCACCTTTTTCAAGGTGTTACAACATTTTTGGGACACCATGTATGTTCGAGACTGGAACGTGGTGTTCGTAATTTACGAAGATCGGTGATTTATCTCGCGAAATTTTGCTGAAGGGACTCGCGAGGAGACACGTTCAACGAAATATTTATGGCTGATGAATTATGAGCTATGTTTCTTTAACGGCTGGGGCAACAAGTTGGGAAGAAAAGGAACGAAAGAAAAATTCTGGAAAGTTCTCACGTCGGGAGTTTCGCATACGAACACTCTCGAGTCATGTGCACGACCAATCGTTGAAAATGCCCCAAATTAAATAAACACGCTCCTGTGAGTCTTAAGCTTTCTTCGATATTTATTTACGCCGCAGCGTATCATCGCGGAGGCTATTTCTTTTACACGAAACGTTTCTCCCAAGGGAGGAACGTTTGGGAAAGTGTTATTGACTAGTTTAGTATTAAACCTTGTTCCACGTACCCGTGTAATGGGAAGTGTTTGGTTATCAGTAGCGTGCATACACATTTCGCGTGAACACAGAGAGGGCTTGTGTAATTAATCAGTTGGTGCAATCAAATACGTCCAGCTTGAAAAGTGTATTTACTTACGCCGAGTAGATAACGAGATTATGACGCATTACTAGAATTCTCGTGGGAACAACGGAACGTTAGGTACGTAACTGTTTCATTGTACAGATAAACGTTGGAATTTGGCATTTATCGTATCATTAAATGAACTTTCTTTATCGATTCAGACATTTTTAAGAGACGACGGTAGTTAAATCGCGGAAAATAGTAATCGCTGTTGGTAAAGATAATTCCCTGAGAATTGTGTCACTCATGGCGTCAATGAACTCTTCTTAACGCTGACGATAAAAAGGGGTATCGCAGGATTCGTGTACAAGTTAGTTCGCTGTCTACTGTATTTGCGTTCCTTTATCTGCAACTTGCGAAACGTGATCGCGATCTTTCGCGACGTATAACAGCGTTGCACGGAGTTGGGCAAACCTCTAGATTACAATTACCTGAAGTTTCCCAAAATCGTTTCTCTTGCTTTCTCTTTTGAGCTGGGGATGGCGTGATAAATCACTAACAGTGATTTTTTACGGTGATCACACAATCACGATCACAGTCGTGATTAAACTTCGAACACTACCGTGATCCGGAAGATAGCGTTTCAAAATCGGTTCATGTTAATTGTCATGAAGACTCTATAAGGAGATCCAACTCTCTAAGAAAGTTACTAGAAAACTCTTAGCAAAATCACGAAATTGAAGTTATGAGTATTTCGCCCACTCGCGGCTCAAGTACGCACAGACTACGATATACAGGGTGTCCCAAAAATGTTGTAACAGCTTGAAAGAGGTGGTTCAGGTGGTGATTCGAAACAACTTTTTCCTTAGCGAAAATGTTGTCCGAGGCTTCGTTGAGGAGATATTAACGGAAAACACTGACCAATCAGAGCGCGCAGATACCGTTGGAGCGGCCGCGGTAGCGAAGGCTATGTGCTAAGCGGCCGCGCTTGTACGCGAACAAGCGACTCGACGTGCATCGAAGGACATTGTACGCGGTATCCGCGCGCTCTGATTGGTCAGTGTTTTCCGTTAATATCTCCTCAACGAAGCCTCGGACAACATTTTCGCTAAAGAAAAAGTTGCTTCAAAACACCTCCCGAACCACCGCTTTCAATGTGTTACAACATTTTTGGGACACCCTGTATATATGTATATATCGTACTCTGTGCTCACTTGCGCCGCGAGTAGTAGAAATATTCTTAACTTCAAGCTCGGGATTTTCATAACACTTCTACACTACACAGTTAGGACTCCTTATACAGTCTTCATGTTAATTGTATCGTTAGTGTCTCGCTGTCTCCCCTTAGCGGAAATTCAAGAAACCACAAACGAGTCAAATTAAAATTGTATTAAAATGATATTAACATTGCTTTTAGACCATATTATAATACATATATAATCTAAGAACAACATAATTCGTGAAAAGTGATCTGATCTGATTCTGATCTACCAATGAGAAGCGATCACGAAGAATCACGAATCACTGTGAAAAATCATCGTGATTGAGAATGGACGTGATTGCATCACTAGTGATTCAAAAGTAGCAGTTCACGCCATCTCTATTTTGAACATTTTCCAAATAAGGAAACAATTCAAACCATATCAGCAAACTGGAAATTTATTCGAAGCCTAAAGTTTTGTCCATCTCTGATCTATGGCCACGAGAGTATAGGGATATCCTATGTATGTCATTCACGCGATCGCGCTTTCGTCCAGCCATCTTTGAATGGTTTATTTCCGTTATTGTTTTTATGTGCGCGCACACGAGTTTATCGGCGAGATGAAAGGGAGGCCGCGTGGGTTTCGCGGGCGATAAAGAGCCAGGAAGAGCGCGAGGTAGCAAGAGCGAAGGGTACACAAAATAAAGAAGCGTCGAGGCGTTCATTTCACGTTTTATCGCGACAGCTGTATCTAGTACACACGGCCACGGCAGCTTCGCAAATCCCAGCTTGGAATAGGGTTAACATCCCTAGATTGTGAACTAAAGAGAACATTCGCAATACGCTCTAACCCAGGGGTGGCCAACCTAAATGATTTCGCGGGCCACTTTCGAAAGCTTAGTGAAGTTGGCACCTCCGAATGCAAATTTTGGTAAAAATCAAATTGCATTCGTTTGTCCACGATTTGTTCACGTTTGTCCAACCACAATTCTGATTTGTCCACCCTTCAGAAAAAAGTTACACCACAAACAAGCCATTTGAAGTCAATACACCTATATAGACTTTTTTTAGGGTTTTCTTAAAAAAATGTGTCTCACCACATTTTCTCCACCGGAAAAAAGATACACTTCAATTAAGGAGAAGTTGCAGCGATACGCTCGGTTGCGGGTCATTTGTCCTCGTTTTGTCAATTTCGTAGCTAATTATTTATGTCTGCGCAGAACAGAAACACTACTGGTTTTGTCCAGATGTAAATAAATAACTACAAAACTGACAAAGACTGTATGCGCCTGAACGCATCGCTGCATTTTCTCCTTGATTGAAGTCTATCTTTTTTCTGAGGGGTAGACAAACAAAAGTATTTGTTGGACAAACGAAAAACATTAGTGGACAAAATGTGGTGAGACACATTTTTTAAGAAAACCCTTAAAAAGGTGTATATAGGTGTGTTGACTTGAAATGGCTTGTTTGTGGTGTAACTTTTTTCTAAAGGATGAACAAATGAAAATTGTGGTTGTACAAACGTGGACAAATCGTGGACAAACGAATGCAATTTGATTTTTATCAAAATTTGAGTAGATTTGAAAGTAGATGTATACAATATCTTTGGATTCACTGTTGTAATTCTCTTCTCAATATGTTATACATTTTAGTTATCTTTCGATGAATCGAAAGGAAAACAAAGATGATAGTCACCGAGTGACACGCTCTGCCAAGTTTCTTGATATAAAGTAACATGTCAGGTTGATATCCAATTGAGAAAACTTGCGCAAATTTGTGCCATTTTAAGTTATTTAAATTTAAAGTCCATGCTTATAAGGAAAAAAAGACTGTTTACGCGGGATTAAAACAAACCTTATTATCCTTAATTTTAATTTAACATTAATTTATTATTGTTATTTCTACCAATGTATTCTAACTATGTTGCCCTATAAACCTAGAAATTCTATTCCATAAAA